GCAGTCTTCCCCTCAGTGATAAATGTCAGCCTCCCCCCTCCTGAACAGATATCGATGGTTATTTGGGCTTATTTCTCCCAATCTGTTGTTCACCTCAGAGTGGAGATGGAATCCATTTCTGCCTGGTTGGCAGCCAGGGTGACTGTGGGACAAGGTAATTTGGCTGGCTGGCACCTTCTCCAATCTCTCTGTCTCAGATGTTCAGCTATATCTGGGCTCCTATTTCCAAAGTTTACCTCAAACAAACAAGTGCACGCACACATAAGCACACCCTCAGCGCCGTCCTCTGAGACGCTGCGACTGGTAAAGCTGAAATGAAACAAAGTCGAGATGGCGCCCTGAGCGCTTGTTAGGTTTCATCTGGCTTTCGCAAACAATCTCCAGAGGAAGCAGGAAAAGGGACAAGTCATACAAACTTTTTTATTTTAGGTTGTTATTTCAGTTTACAACTGGTCAAGTACACACATTCTCTCTATATGTGTGTGGCTCTTTTTTAAATTAGTTTTTTTTTTTGGAGTCGTTGCAGACATTCAAACACAGAGAAGACGTTTCTTTAAGAAAGAAAGAAAAAAAAATAGCTTGGTGAATGTCAGGACAGGAAGACAAACTGTAGTGTCAATGGTTTCTTCACGACTCTGTGTCCAAACAAGAAGCTGTGAGTGAGCACAGTGTGGAGCCAGTTCAAAAGTCTGTGAACCTGGACTCCACACACAGATCACAGTCAGATTTTATTTTTTCAAATGTAAGGGTTGAGTTTCAGAAACACAAATTTGGTTCAAGTTCTAAAACAGAAACAGAACTTTTCAGGTTAGAGTGAAACATCAGTTTCTGAGCATCTTGATTTAAAATCTCGGTTTGTTTTTTTAAGTCATATATAACATGGGGAGAACCCCCGACCCCCGTATTGAACCCACCCCTACACTGTTACAGTACGGCTCACTTACACAGGAGCAGTTAGTGACTCAGCACTTCTCTCATTACAATATTTTACCACTAGTCCACAGGTTGCTGCCCTGAGTGTGAAAAGATA